TCATCCATGTTGTGGCATATGACAGGGTTTTCTTTTTAAATGGCTCATCATATTCCACTGTATGTATTTACCACATTTTCTTTATCCATTCATCGCCCAATATACATTTGGGTTGTTTCTACCTCTTGGCTATTATGAATGTTGTAATGAACATGGCTGTGCAAATTTTCTCTTTGAGATCCTGCTTTGAATTCTTTTGGATATATACCCAGAAGAGGAATTGCTGGATCATATGGTAAACCTATTTTTACTTTTTTGGAGAAACTTGCACACTGTTTTCCACAATGGCTGCAGCATTTTATATTCCCACCAAAAGGGCATAAGGGTTCCAGTGTCTCTGCATCCTCACCAACACTTGGTATCTTTCGTTCTTTTGATAGTGGCCATCCTGATGGGTATGAAGTGATAACCCATGTGGCTTTATTTGCATTTCCTTAGTGATTAGCGATGTAGAACATCCTTCCATATTTGTTGGCCACTTGTAAATCTTCTTTGGAAAAATGTCCATTCAAGTCCTTTGCCCATTTTTTAATCAGGTTATTATAACAATAAAACTTCTCCATAACTTGGAGAAGTTTCTTATATTGTTAATCCCTTATCAGATACATGATCTGCTTCTATGCCATAGGTTGTCTTTTCACTCTCATTTTTTTCTGTTTTTGACATGCAGAAGTTTTTAAGTTTGGTGTAGTCCATTTGTCTATTTTTGCTTTTGTTGCCTATGCTTTTGGTGTTATGTCCAAGAAATCATTGTGAAATTCAAAGAAGCTATCCCCCTACATTTTCTTCTAGGAGTTTAAGAGTTTAAGGTCTTATGTTTTAGGCCTTTAATTCATTTTGAGTTCTTTTTTGCTTGTGGTATAAAGAAAGGGCCCAACTTCCTTATTTTGCATGTGTTATCTAGTCTTCTCAACGCCCTTTGTTGAAGAGACTGTCTTTTCCCCCTTGTGTAGTCTTGGCACCCCTGTTGAAAGGTAACTTGGCACATAAATGCAAGAGTTTATTTCTAGGTTCTCTATTCTGTTTCATTAGTCTACATTATCTATCTTTATGTCCGTACCACACCATCTTAATTACTGTTGCTGTGTAGTATGTTCTGAAATCAGGGAATGTGAGGGCTCAAACTTGTACTCTTTAAAAATACTGTTTTTGGCTCTATGGAGTCTTTTGAAATTCCACAGGAATTTTAGGGCTTTTTTTTCTATTTCTGCAAAAAAATGCCACTGGGATTTTGATAGGGATTACACTGAATCTGTAAATAACTTCAGGTAGTATAGATACTTTAATAATAATCAGCCTCCTAATCCATGAACCTGGGATATCTTTCCATGTATTTATGTCTTTAATTTCTTTCAGCAATGTCAGTGTGCAAACCTTTTGTTTCCTTGGCTAAGGTTATTCCTGAGTAATTTATTCTTTTTGATGCTATTGTAAATAGGACTGTTTTCTTAATTTCCATTCTGGACTGTTTATTGTTAGTATTTAAAAACACAACTAAATTTGTATCTTGATTTTGTATCCTGTAACACTATTTTGTTTTTTTGTGGAATCTTTAGGGTTTTTTACATAAAAGATCACATCTATGAACAGAGATCATTTTACTTCCTTTCCAATTCATATGTCTTATTTCTTTTTCTTGTGTAATTGCTCTGGCCAGATTTTCTGGTACTGTATTGAATAGCAGTGATGAGGGTGGGCATTCTTGTCTTATTGAGTATCATGTTTGCTGTCGGCTTTTTATATATGGCTTTTATGATGTTGCAGAAGCTTCTTTCTATTCCTATTAGTTGAGTGTTTTTATGATGAAAAAGTACTGAACTTTCCAAAATGCTTTTTCTGAATCCACTGAGATACTCATGTGGTTTTTGTCCTTCATTTTGTTAATGTAGTATATTACATTGATTTTTTTAAAAAACATTTTATTTATTTGAGAGAGAGAGTGTGTGTGAACAGTAGGAAGGGACACAGAGAGAGGGAGAAGCAGTCCACCTGCTGAGCAGGAAGCTTGATGTGGGGTTTGACCCCAGGACCTGGAGATCATGACCTGAGCCCAAGGCAGATGCTTAACCAAGTGAGTCACCCAGCCGCCCCACATTGATTTTTTGTATGCAGAACCATCTTTACATTCCAGCTACAAATCCCACTTGGTCACGGTGTGTGATTTCTTTTTTAGTGGTTTGGTTTTGTCTAGTCTGGGGATCATGGTAATGCTAGCTTCAGAGAATGAGTTGGAGAGTATTCCCTGCTCTTCAATTCTCTGGAAGAGTTTGAAAATGACTGGTGTTAAATGTACTTTATTTAAACATTACGGAGGATGCTCTGGTGAAGCCTGGGGTGCTGGGTTTTTCTTTGTTGGGAGATAATTTTGACTGGTGCTTCAATTTCCTCACTAGATATAGGTTTGTTCAGATTTCTTATTTCTTCATGGTTCAGTCTTGGTAGGTTGTTCTGTTTCTAGGAATTTATCTATTTCTTTTAAGTTATCCAGTTTGTTGACATATAATTGTTCATAGTAGTATCTTATAATCCTTTTTATTTCTGTTGTATCAGTTCATCAGTTGTAGTTATCTTCTCTTTCACTTCTAATTTTGGCTATTGGAGTCTCCCCTCTTTTTTTCTTAGTCTAGCTAAGGGTTTGGCAATCTTGTTGATCTTTTTGAAAAACCAAAACCAATGAAACTTGGTCTCTTTTTTTTTTCTATTGTTTTTCTATTCTCTGTTTCATTTATCTCTGTGTTAATCTTTGTTATTTCCTTCCCTCCACTGACTTTGGGTTTAGTTTGTTTTTCTAGCATCTTGAGACATAATGTTAGATAGTTGATTTGAGATCTTTTTTTTTTTTTAAAGATTTTATTTATTTAACAGAGACAGACACAGCGAGAGAGGGAACACAAGCAGGGGGAGTGGGAGAGGGAGAGGCAGGCTTTCTGCCGAGCAGGGAGCCTGATGCGGGGCTCGATCCCAGGACTCCGGGATCATGATCTGAGCCAAAGGCAGATGCTTAACGACTAAGCCACCTAGGTGACCCGAGATCTTACTTCTTTTTTAATGTAAGTATTAACGGCTATAAACATCCCTCTTCCTACTGCTTTTGCTGCATCCCTTAAGTTTTGGTGTATCGTATTTTCATTTGTCTCCAGACATTTTCTAAATTCCCTGTGACAACTTCTTTGGCTGTTTAAGGGTGTGTTGTTTAATTTCCACCGATTTGTGGATTTTCCTGTTTTCCTTTTGCTGTTTATTTCTAGTTTCATCCCACTGTGGTCAAAGAAGATACTTTGTATGACTTAAACTTGTTAAGGCTTGTTTTGTGGCCTAACACATGGTCTATACTGAAGAATGTTCCATGTGCATTGAGAAGAATGTGTAATCTGCTGTTGTTGGGTGGAGTATTATATATATTGAAAGGTCCAATTGGTCTATAGTGTTTAAGTCCTCTGCTTCTTTAGTGACTTCCTGTCTGGTTATTCTATTCGTAACTGAAAGTGGGGTATCAAGTCTTCTACTATTATTGTGTTGCTTCCTATTTCTCCTTTCAGTTCTGTCAATGATTGCATCATATATTTGGCAAAGAATTTTAATAACAACATTAAAAAGACTGGAATTAAAATATTTTCCCTAAGATTTATTGTAAGGAATAAAAAGATAGAAGGATATATACAAAGTGATAGGATTTGGGGGTTTTATTAACCCCACTGTATTTCTATAATTTTACAAAAGCCTAATAATGAATAGGGGTTCCCTTAGCAGTATTATAAAACAAAAAAGTTTTTTGTTTTTTTTTTTTTAAGATTTTTTTTTTTTTTTTTTTTGAGAGAGAGACAGTGAGAGAGGGAGCACAAGCAGGGGGAGCAGGAGAGGGAGAAGCAGGATCCCTGCTGAGCTAGGAGCCAGATGTGGGACTTGATCCCAGGACCCTAGGATCATGACCTGAGTCGAAGGCAGACGCTTAACCATCTGAGCCACCCAGGCGCCCAACAAAAAAGTTTTTTAAGAGCTACATCAAATACAGTATTATAAACTAATTTGTGAGCTAATGACTTTTTCATCTTGTCTTTGAGATTTTATAAATTACAAAAGACTAAGATGTAGGACAAATAAAATTTAGTTTCTGTTTAAATTATTTAAGAATACAGTAACTTCATCTTCATCTTAGATTAGTAGGATTTCAATATTAAAAGCTTTCAACAATCCAGGCAAATCAGGAAACAGCTGTGTCCTCTTATTTTCATACTTTCTCCCCAATTTAGATACGATTAATTTAATTAATTATAGAACAAAAGGTAATTAAAATGTCAAAGTAATTTACTCCTAGTTTTTCACATATTTTTGTATGAAAGCCACATTCAATTACCACTCCTACAATTGGCGGACCTAACATCAAACTGGTTAAGAAATAGATCTTAACACATTTTGGGGGGAAACTTTTTCACTGCAAGTTTAATCATCTGGTATGTTTTGGACCTTATATTCATTTTGTACAAATGATTGATTTTGACCTCATTTTCTGGTTTAAAAATATTTCTAGGTTATTTTTATATGCATAACCAATTCAGTTATTCAGGCTAAACAGAACGATTTTTAATTGGTGGAGTCTTACAATGTAGTCATTGTTGGCAAAATGGTTAAACTGAATGTGTGGGTAAATCGTGGCTAGATTTCTATTCAAAAGGATACTATTTTTTAAAATGCAATCTTAATAAATATACCAAGATAATGCCCATTCCTTATTTGAAGACTTTACACTTGAGTCTAATCATTAATCACAAGCAATATTTAAACACAGTTTACTAAGAGTAGAAAGTTTTTACAGACTTAAAATTTTGGCTAGATTCCAAATCCTATGACTAAATAATAATGTCTTTCTACTTTTCAGAAACTGTGACAAAGATGGGCGTATTTCAAAAGTAAACATCACTTTGCAAATACTGGAAATACTTCAGAAAAGGAGAAAAATGTATGCTGAATCTTCTGGAAAGCAAGTATTAGTTAACACTTACTGGACATAGTAGAGAAACCCTTAGGCTGGTTGTAGCTATTTCACTGTCTGGATCCGCGGTCAATTTCTCTTTAACTGACATTCATTGAAGAGAAAACAAACAAACAGAGCATGTTTATTAAAGATACATCAGTGATGCAACATAAAGAAAAAGAACAAGAAACTTAAAATGAGGAAGCTTAAAAAAAATGAACTCAAAAATAATCTAATTATTTCCAATTAACTGGATGGAAAGATAAAAACAATTACATGGTTTATAATTTCTATCATAGGCAAAAGAAGAAAAACAACCATATATCTATAGACTGACTATATTTCCTGTAAGTTCCCTATTTCTCATCCATGGAACAAAAACTGCACTGTAGTAACATAAAGGAAATTTCTATAGTAAGCTGACATATTCAACTAATGGCAGAACCTTTTCCTTTTATAACTCTAAGAAACTGAATGAAGTTTTTCTTTCTTTTAAATTATGACCAATATTTTTATGCCAATATTATTTTATAAATTTTTCCAAAGCTCAGATAATAAAATATATTACCATACTTTATATGTTAATACATTAATTCTATTTTTCTATTAGTTCTATTTTTAAATTTTGGAAATATATTAATTCTAAATTGCTTTTTCCCCATACAACTGAGTTTTATATTTATTTATCCATAAACTAATTAAGTTATCTTACACAAGTCAATCCTCCTCTCTGAGCTTAATTTTGCTTCTAGCAAAATAAGAACCCACACTAGATAATCTCTAAATCTTTTCAGCTCAAACCTCCTGTGGTTCTTAAGATTTGAACAGACACTGCATCAAAGAAGCTATAAGGATACCAAATCAGCACGTGACATCATTAGTTATTAGGAAAATGCAAATTAAAACCATAATGAGATACTACTAAACAGTGACCAGAATAGCCAAAAATCAAAGCGGCCTGACAATACCAAGCACTAGTGAGGATGGAGAAAAACTCGAAATCACATACATCACTGGTAGGAATGTACAAATGCCATATACATTTTATAAGAAACTGTCAGGCTGTTTTCCATACACATTTCATGTGACCCAGCTATCTGAGTCCTAAATATTTACCCAAGAGAAACAAAAACCTATGTCTACAAAACTGGAATATCCATATGCAAAATGTAAATATTCTAGCAGCTTTACTTGTGATAATGCAAAACTGGAAACAACCTAACTGTCCACTGAATGATAATGATAAATGGATGAACAAATGATGGTACAGATAAATGGACTACTACTCAGTAATAAAGAACAAACTACATGGATGAGCCTCAAAAGCATTTACAAAGTTAAAGAAGCCAAACATAAAAAGCTACAGGCTGCAGGACTTCAAAAATCTGACATTTTAGAAAAGACAAAACTATGGAGACAGAAATCACGTCAATGGTTACAGGAACGGGGAATAAGGGGATGAAATGAACTGCAAGAGGCCACAGGGGAACTTTCTGGGATGAAGGATGTTCTATATTTTGATTGTGGCTTGGTTCATGATTCCCTGCACCTGTAAAATTCATCAATCTGTACCATTAAAAAGGTGAATTTTTACTTTTGTAAACTATACTTCAAAAAACATAACCAAAAGAAAGAAGAGAAAGGGGGGAGAATCACCATGTCACAAGAAAGTGAGGAAAAATAAAGTAAGCAAATCCTTATAACGTGTGGGCAAGGGAGTAAAAAATAAAGACAAGTCATAATATTTACCCTGCAAACATCAACCAACATGTGGGAAGTCTTCTGGGAATTAAAGTTTTCCTGTGTCACTGTGAGTGCAGTGGTTAACAGTATTTTATTATTTGACCTATAATAAAGTTATAGCAAGCCACATTTAATCTTTTAAAAAAATCTCTGTGTCATGACCTATGAGAGTTAGCCACTAGTCAGTCACACGTAGCTATACTTAAATTTAAATTAAATATAATTTAAAATTCAGTTCCTCAGTTGCACTGGCCACATTTCAGAGCTCAAGAGCCACATGTTGCTGGTAGCTACCACAGAGGACACTGCAAATGTACAAAATTTCATCATCACAGATTTCTCTATTTCTGCTGCTTTCGGGTTGGGTTTTTTGTTTGTTTCGTTATTTCTACCATTCCTTAATATCAGATTATTTTATAGTCATCCTTTTAGAACTTGAAGTCTGTAAACACCTGAACATATTAAGGCCAATACTTCATTTTATAGGCAAGGAAACAGAAGCACAGAGACCAGATTTTTATTCTACCTCTCTTTTAATCAGTTTACCTCAAAAAAATCTGAGGATCTGCTATGCGCCAGGAACTGTGCACAAGGAATTCAAAGATAAGTAAGATTAAATTCCTGCCCAGAGGAACTCAGAGTCTAGTAGAGAGTAAAGATGCTCAGTGGGATCATCTGTAATGTGCTCTAATGCAAATGTGTTCAAGGACCTAGCTCCCCAAAGTCAACTCGCCCACTCTGGGGGTTCTGAGATGCCTCCTGGAAAAAGTGAAATATGAAGAAGGATAACTGGAGTCAGGCAAAGAAGAGGGAAGTTCGGAGGCACAGAGAACAATACTGGTAGGGCAGTGCATAAAAGAAAAGAATTCAGTATTTATGGAATATAACGTATAAGAAGAAGGGTGAATACAGATGACCCCGGGAAGTAGTAAGCAGGTGCCACTTCACGGAAAGCTACATCTGTCATGCTAACAAAGTTGGGAGTTTTTACTTCACGATGTGAAGAAGCTATGGATTGCAAGGGAATGGTAAGATTAGATCTGCATTAATCACTTAGGTTGCTACCAGGAGAGAGATATGAAGAGGGGCCAAGAACAAAGAGGGATATATTACTTAAGGATAGGTTTTTTAAACAAAGACAGAATATGAGAGCTTAAATGAGGGCAGCGATGGTAGGGAGAGGGAGAGAGAGAGAGAGAAGATGGATTTGAGAAATATTTAGGGTGGAAATTTGATAGGATTTGGTGAGTTTGGTTTTAAATAACTGAATCTGAGGAACCGGTGGAATGTTTTGGTGCAGGCAGTTAGCCAGCTATACATATCTATATTTGAAACTCGAGGGAAGGTCTGGGATGAAGGTATTTGGGAGCTGGTGCTCATTTAAACCATAAGACTAGATGTGATTATCTCTAGGTGAAGTATGCAGAAAATGGACCAGGGATGACACCCCAGGGAAAACAAACACCTAGGATGCTTCCCTTAAGAGAATCCACTGAAGGCAAGTAACGGAGAAAAAACAGAGAAGAGTCTTTCAAGGAGAAAGAGGTTGGACGGAAATGCAGCAAAAATATCTAAGATGGAAACTGGAAAGAAAGTTTAAATTTGGCAATCAGACTGTCAGTAGTGACATCCGTGGAACGATGGGAGTGAAAAGAGCCCATGGCTTGCGGTGAGGAGGTGGACAGCAAGTGTAGACCACTCTTTGAAGAAAGTAGGATGGGGACAACCGGGGGAACACAGAGCTCTATCTAGAGTAGAGAACAGCCTGTCTGTGTATTTTTTTAAAGGATGAGAAAGACCTGACAGGTAAGGCTGACAAGAAGAGTGTATAGAGAGGGACAGAGAGCAGATAAATGAGGGAGTGAGGTCTCATAACACTGCTTCTGAGCATCCCCACCCGGATGTCCCACAGACGTCTCAAATACTAGTGTAAGCAGACACTCTGATCTTTCCTCCATACCTCAATCTTCTCCACGCTGTTTTCCATTTCGGTAAATGGCACTACCACGTAACTGCTCCTAGACTTCTCCTTTTCCTTCACTCCTGCATGTAATCTGCCAGCACTGCTACCCTTCAACAGTTCTCGAACCATCAACTTCGATGGCCGTCACCATTACGTACGTTTCAGACGCCATCACCTCTTACCTGGAACACAGGTTCCTCAGTGGCCTCATCCTATCAGTCCAGCCCCTCCTCAATTCAGTCTTCAGAGCAACCTTCTCGTTGCCCAAATGTGACGATGTCACTCTGCTTAAAAATCTTTTCAGGGTTTTCTATCATCTGCCTTTATGTCATCTCTACGAACTCACCCCATGGCTCTCCCTTTGGCCACTGTCCTTCCTCCCTTGTTCTCTTTTCTCTAGCTCCACCGGCCTTGTCTCTTGGCATATTCCCCTCTCATCTTGGGGCTTAACTCCTCCTCACCCTTATAATCTTATCTGAAACATCACAGCACCAGAGAGGACTACGTTCTTCTGTTGTTACCTCCAGAGTTCCCTGTCTTTTTTCTTTAAGGCACATGTCACAACTGTAATTCATTAATGACTCGTTCAATCACTTAATTCTGTCTTTCCCACCAGACTGCAAACTTCTAAGGGATGCAGAGACGGTGTGTGTCTTGTTTAATGCTATATTCTCCTGTGCCTGGAACACCGTAGACTCTTAATATAATTTCTTGAATGAGAAGAATTAATGAATACAAGATTAACTTTGAGCAGAAAAAGGGGCATTTCCTCCTAAGACTGAAGAGAATAAGTAAGGACAGGTACAAGTGTGGATAAGCTGAAAAGCAGTTATGGCGACACTAAGATTAAGGAAGAAATGGACACTTGAGGGAATTCACCTCTTGTAGCCCCAATTGTCTTGCAGTGGCAGTGTGCTGAGAGAGGGGGAGTAGTGTTTGAGTAAACTAGGGCCAACTGCTGCAGGGAAGAAGGAGAGGAGACAGGAACGTGACCAGAAATTAGTCAAGGGCTGCCTTTGCGATAGAGGAGACAACTCTACACAAAGGTGGAAACCACAAGACAAAAGTCTACTAAATCTACTAAACCAAATGAATCAGAGTAGATGTCTCTGTGAAAAGCCTCAATATTACTAAGTTTATTCTTTCAAGAACATAATAGTGCCTGATTTGATGAATACAACTCTGCCAGCAGAATTTACTGATAAGATTAAGAATGGCTTACAATGAATATATTTTTAGGCCATTTGATTTTTCAAAAATCTGGAGAAACCTGTCAACATTTTCTTCCATCAAGTTGTTTTATACAATCTTTTAATTACACAATTAATTTATTCAGAAAGTTATTTCTTTATAGATAGTATAGAGGCAAACAATCTGTTCTTTGCTCAAGATCTTCAAACGAAGATCTTACCAGTAGGATCCAAATTAATGTTTTACTGGTTCTCCAGGCCAATAAGTAAGATAAGATATAAACCGTCACAAAAATCCCACTCACTCTGCAACTACTCTCCACTTCCAGCATTGTTATCAGAGATGATATAGCTAGCCTCTGAATTAAGAAGCTGTTGCTGCTTAATACTAACAGTGGTTCCTTCCAGAAAATAAAATAATCCTACGCTCACCTTCCTACTCTCCCTCCAGATGGTGCTACAAAGCAGATGTCTGCTCTGTTCTTCTTTGTCCCTGCCAACTGGTGCTTCCTCTCCCCTAGACCCCCAAAAAAACCAGTGCTGTCATTCTAGCTCTCCACTGTCTTTTAAGGAGTGTCTACAGAGGCATTAGCCAAAAGTGTGCTCCTCTTGACTCAGGATTATTTCCATTTTAAAAAGGGTTCTTTTAAAGCAGAAAAGTCCTTTAATGAACTACTGAGGGCATTCTGCTATTCAGAGGTGGTGGGATCTTCTATTCTGGCACAGAAACAGGTTAGCAAAAAAAGATAAAAGCTATACAGAGGAAAGTGAGAGAAAAGCTGGCCTTACTACTTGAGTTCTTTTCACCAGAGTGTGCACACCTAACTAAATCTGAGAGTGGGTTTCATTAATCAACTCACATCAAGAACCCTTAAAGAGGAGCTATCTAATCCCTGCCTGTAAAAGTTTTGTTCCCTGTGTCCATCCCCATCTCTGAGTCCATCCATCCATAAAGAATCTACCTCTCACAAAGAAGAGAACAAAAGAAGAACTTATTTCTCCTCCTGGGAAAGGCTGCCAACCTCTGGCCTTCATCCTCAAAAACTGAGGCCAGAACGGTCAATTTGGAGACCTTGCTGCATCTCAAATTCTACACAACTCTATGAACCACCTAGTTATTCATAACTATGAGCCCAGACTTTGGAGGAGCTTTAGAAATCATGTAGTAACAACCTCTTGTTACAGATGAGGAACATGAAACTCAGAGAAGTAGAGTGACTTGTCCAAGGCCTACATAATTGATTAACAGAACTTGCTTCGTTATTATTTTTACCATCCCACTATCTTTTTACTTTATTAATGCAGGGATATAGTCATCACGTACCCTGCACAATTCTCCTGGATAAACCTTAAATACAAAATAATTCTCATGAAATACATGCCAAGATTTCCTTCCTGTCTCCTAGAATTCCATAAACATTTATTTTATGAAGTTACAGTAAAATATTCTTCCATATTCATTTACTGGCTTTCTAAAGTTACTTTTAAGGTCAGTAAAATAGAGATTATAAAATATAGGTCATAACAAAGATATTAAAACTACTTCTAAGTCTTGATTTACTTTATTCCGAAAACAAGTTTTCAGTGTTTTAAATCCTCTATAACAAGCTCTAGTGAAAAGAAATTTCTTTCATTGAAAATATACTACTCTAACCTTTACCAAAATAGTTCAGCTGCATAAATGAAATAAGTTTATCATACGTACTTAAAGCTCTAGAATGATCCGGATTCCTTATTCCCTTTGCTCGTAACCTCTGAAGAAGAACTGTTGAGGACAACTGTTTTACAAGATACACTGCCATGGAATAGTTCTGGAAAAAAAAAAAAAAAAAAAAGATGTAGAAAAACAACATACGTAAGTAAATAGTACATCTATTTTAATCCCACAATGATAGGGAAAGAAAACTAACGCTCGTTAAAACACCTACTGTGTGGCCAGGCACTACCAGGTGTTTTCATGAACAGGAATTAATTTAGTCCTAACCAAAAAGCTGCTGAGGTGGTCACAAACCTACTTTTATGGACGAGGAAAGGGAAGTATAGAGAAGTAAAAGAATTTTGCAACTTTCCAGCAATAAAGCCAGGTCTGCCATGCTTGTCTATTATCTGACTACCTATGCTCGAAGCTAATCAATGTGAGGCACCTCTATAAAAAAAAAAAACTACTGTTAAAACTGAAATATAAACCAAGGCCAGTAAGATGTCAAAATCACCATAAACCATCATTTAGTAGGTAACAGGTCTAAAATAGTAGCTATTTAAAAATTACAAATTAGACTGGTTTCCTCATCAAATCTCTCTTTATACCTCTAACTAGTTTTAAAAGACCCTACGTGGGCCATTATCACAAAGGGAATATTAAAGATTTTCAAAGAGAAGCTGCTGGTTTGGCCAATGAATAGATGAATATCCATTGCCAGCAGAGGACTGGTAGAGGATACGGTAGCAGGAGAAGGGAACAAAGAAAACAGTTAATCAATAAAGCCAAGGCGGAGTGAAGGGTACATGACTGGATAAGAGGAAGAAAAGAGGGCTGAGGCTTATTAAGGGTAGGAGAGAGATCTAAATGAGAAGGGCCACCTTCCGTCTGGTGTTGGGATCAAGAAGAAGATCAAGAGATTTGGAAAGAAGCAAAAGGAAGAACACTTACTGCCACCTTCTAGCTTACAGCTACATACAATTTCTGAAGCACTCTTAACATATATTACCTACTTAATTTAAACCTCGCAGAAGGCCTATATGAGACAGGTAGGATAAGTATTTTTCTAAGTAAAGAGTTCATGAAAAGGAGGCACGAAAAGATATGTCATCTGCTCATGATCATGCATCTGCTTGGTGACAGAGCTGGCACTAGAACCCAGGAAGAAAGAATACGGCTGTCAGGACAGTGGACTTAATGGCCAAGGCTAGTGGAGTTCTCGACAGTTCTTGCTATAACACACCTTGTTTGCTTTGACCCTCCCAACCAACTTTCAGACTTTTCAAATATGCATTCCCCTTTTGACAAAAAGAGAAAATATCCTCAGTATCCTCCGGAAGGCTGAATTTTCATTTAGAGTTCAGAAACCTATCCATGTTCATATGTTACCTATTTTATGGGGAAAAAATGAAGTATCAAAAAAGCTAATTTACAAGGAACCTTAAAACTTGCCTAAACTTTAGAGCATACAACACACCAATCTAAAATAAAACTAAAAGGTTTCCTCTGGGGGGAAAAAAAACCTTATTCACCTTTATTGTTTATTTGATTAATATTTTGAGTATGACAGAAACCGGAGAAATGCTAATTAACACTGTGAAATTATGTACTGACAGCTTGAATCTTCAGTACTAGAAATCCCCCTCAGGCTTTTTATAATTTTTTAAGGAGAGATCAAGTAGAAACCACAACTACAAGTTCAGTGAAAAGGTATGTTCACTCTAGTTGAAACATGTAACCCAATTAAAAAAAAGCAGCAGCAGCAGCAAAAAGAATGTCAGGTATTAACAAATGCCACTTGTACTGATAATATGGAATTCAATTTTGTATCAGCAGCATAAAACCCCAAACCTTCACAGTGGCATGCTATCTCGTCTAGGTAGATAATATACTGTTTCTGCTAACCCTTCAAAGTGCTACTTAATTCCAACTACTCCTAAATACTGCCTTACACTGATGTTTTTGTCAAATGCCTTCTCAAAAGTCTTCAAAATTGTCTATCAAGTTCAAAGGACATTTTCTCCATATTAAGATATAATCTACTCATGAAGTGTCCTTTATATCAGTATCTAAATAACTTTTCTATAAACAATGAGAATTTAATAAATGCTAAATGCAGTGATTACCCTGAGGTAGGATAAGAAGTTACAATACAGTTCACTTATTTCCTTCAAGCACTATACTGGCTCTTCTTTTAAAAAAAAAAAAAAAAAAAATTACTGAAAAAAAAAAAAAAAGATATAACTGACATATAACACTGTGTACGTTTAAGGTGTACAATACGTTCATTTGACACACTTATATACTGTAATATGATTACCACCTTAGCTTTAGCTAACACTAACTCTGCTATTTCCTTTGCAGATGTATTTTTAACACTTCTCAGTGGTAACTAATAATCCCCAAGACCCTAAGAGATCATATGCAAACGAACAGAGCATCCCTATAAGTTGAACTAAAACTAGTGCAAGAAAAACATTATAATAAGTTATCTTCTGGGCTTTGGTAAAGAAAATTTTCTTTCAATGTTTTACTTCAAAAAGAAGGTCTCTAAGTTGTAGACTGTGGTCTATACAAAGATCTTACCTAGTAGACCACTTTCAAATCACTGAACATAGTCTTCTTTCTGAGGTTTCCTCTCTCCTCTAATGCTATGTACCAGCACCACATTTCCCTCCTCTTGCCGAAGTTTGGGACTTCCTTCATAGTTCATTGTAAACACCCTGGTAGGCTATACGTGTCACACCCACAGGCAAAAAAACCCAATACAAAACAAAAAACATTTTTCAATATCCTCTTCAAAAAGGGAGACAAAGGCGAACTCCCGAAGTACACTAGAAGTAAAACATTTAAAAGGATTTCAAAAACCTAATGGTGATATATTTAATTAGGCAAAGGAAAAAAAATATAGTCTTGATAGGTATCAAAAAGGATTCTGATAAAATTCAAAATCCATGTCTCACAAAGATATCCAGTAAAAGAGCAATACAGAAATATACTGTTGATGTAATTAAGTTCTGTCAAAAATTCATTACATCACTATTTGTACAAGCAGTATTCTCATTTTCGTAAGGAACAAGTTGAGCATGTCCACTAGCACTCCCATTATTTAACATTGTTCTGAAGGTTCTAGCCAGCGTAACAGGTTCTAGCCAGCACAACAGAAAACAAGAAATGATGACATAAGTACTAGGATTATCATTATTTGTATAACTGATACATCTTTTCAAACTCAGAACTGCCTACCTGGAAAAACCAAGAAACCAATTAAAAAGCTGTTGGAACCAATATATGAATGCAAGTATTAAGTAAATATTCAACAATAACTAGCTTTTAAATAAACCAACAATAAATAAAGTCTTTAGAAAATATAACAGAAAAAAGATCTACTTAACAACAGCAACTATAACAATAAACAATACAGGAATTAATAAAAAATATGGAAGATCTATAAGAAAAAACCTATTAAATGACTGAGGAACATAAAAGTTCTGAATAAAGGGAGACACATACAGCTCCTGGAATGGAAATATTAAATACTGTAAATAAATTAATCCTCCCTAACTCAACGTACTAATTTAAAGCAATCTCGTTCCAATTCCCAGAAAGATTTTCGGAAGCAATGCAGGGGAATGTGGCTCCCTCTCTGTAATTACTCTTCCAACACTTCCGCTCTCCTCACAGCCTCCCTCACCCTTAGCTCACATTTTCTTCTCTAGCCCAAACTTACCCTCTGAGTCTAATACCAATTGCCTCTTTAGAATGTCTCCCAGGCATCTCAAACTCAAAACCTTCAAAACTGAACTCATGATTTTCTTCATCATCTAGTTCTCCAACACTCCTTCCTCCAAAGCAATGAAATGACAAAAAACATGCCTAAATTCAATCCTTTTTCAGTGTTTCCTCTATCTCAGTAATATTATCATTTACCTTCTCACTCCAGCCAGAAACCCAGGAGTCATCCTTGACATCTCCTGGTTTTCTCCGCCCCTACTTGTAATTTCTTGCTCAGTCCTACTGACCCCTGACTTCTCTCCATCCCTGCTGCCACCACTCTAGGCTACCACACTCTTCCACTAATACTTCAGCAATAGCTTGTTCCTAAGAGGTGACTGCTCTGCATGATTCTGGCCTCCATTCAAACTGTTTACCACTCTGAAGAATGACTTTTTGTAAACAGAAATACACTACTGTAAAATTCTCGCTTAAAAAGAAAATATACTTGGGGCACCTGGGTGGCTCAGTCGGTTAAGCGTATGCCTCCGGCTCAGGTCATGATCCCAGGTCCTAGAATCAAGCCCTGCATTGGGCTCCCTGCACTGGGCTCCCTGCTCCTCGGGAGTCTGCTTCTCCCTCTCCCTCTGTCCCTCCCCCCTGCCTGTGCACGTGCGCGCTCTCCCTCTCCAGCATGCTCTTTCTCAAATAAATTAAAAAAAAGAGAGAGAGAGAATATCCTTAACGTTAACAGTACCTCACAGGCCCTGCATGGCCTGGCCCTTTCTTACCTCTATAGCCTCATCCTGTACAGTGCTCTTCCCCACTCTCTGCACTCTAGCCCCAGTGGCTCCCTCTCAGTTTCCTGAAAAGAACCAGGCTCACCCCTGCCACTGAGCTGTTGTGCAGGTTGTGTCCTCTGAACCTTTCACCCAAACTGCTTCCTTCTAACCCTTCTCTTAACTCTTGGCTCAGTCACTACTTCCTCAGCGAAGCCTTACCTGACCTCTAATTCAAAGTACCCTTTAATATACTCTAAAATCACCGCACACCTCTCCATCCATAGTCCTTCTGATAAGTATGTTCACCTTTTTGTGTCCGACCACCTGGCTCCAGACCTCAGGCTCTAAAAGAATGAGGACTTTCTTTTCTCGCTATGGTGCTGTCAGTTTTCAGTAAAGGCATGGCATACAGTAAGCATTCAATGAATTTCAAATGAATTAATGAATAGACATGAGCTCACATAATAAAACTGAAATAATCAAAAACATTCTGAAATTGTTTTCCAGAAAAAGAATGCAAGACTAAGAAACAATATAAAAAAACTCAGAAACACACATAGGATAAATAAAAGTCAAATACATAGTAATGGTGGCTTCTGAATCAGCATTTATTTAGTGTATGGTGTCAGACCACCTGGCTACTGAAAAAAATGAAAGTAAATTTTTATTAAAAAAAACACAGAACTTGCGATGGATTATTTAAAGGTAAAACAAAAAACCTCAAAAGTCCAGAAGAAAATATAAACAAATATTTATGTAAGCTTGGGAAGGGCAGACAGACTTCGGTGTGATGGGGACTGAGGAGGAAAGTGTGTGCGCCCGCGCGCGCGCGCGCGCACACACACACACACACACACACAGGTTAAAAATTGGCTCTATAATAATTTAAGTCCTCTAAATATTAAATAATCACATAAATAAAAGTAAAAGGCAAACAAACTGGAAACAAGTATTTGCAACATGTGAAAGAGGTTAAGTCTTAATATATAAAGAATTCATAAATAAGAATAAGAAAAACAGCAATAGAGAAATAAATATGGATATAATTTTAAAATGTAAATCACAACAAAATATGTTCAATCTCAGTAATAAAAGGAGCACTAATCAAAACAACATGGTGCGTTTATTTACCTACTAAACTTGGTAAAGATTTTAAAGAAGATAAAAGTATTGATAGGGTATGGGTCAAGGGGCACACAAACACTGAAAGTCAGAGAATAAATTTGTACATCTTCTGGTAAGGCAATCTGTCAAAGTACACAACATTTCTTTAAATTCTGCATGCTCTTTGACTCAGGAATTCCACTTCTGGGAATTTAAGGAAATTATGATATATGTTTGCAAAAGCATGGCTACTAGGATGATCTTTGAAACAGCAATGAATCAATCAATCAATAAATCAACTAACTGCTCAACAATAGGGAATAGACTAAATTATGGCATATTCATACTGGAATATGACCTAGCCGTTAGAAATCATGCAGATGAACACGTAATAACATAAAAAGACATTCATGATAAATGGCTGAGTGAAAGGATCAGGTTATAAAACAATGAATACTGCATGATCCCATTTTTTAAATGGGAACATGTTGAAAATTCATTATGAGACAAAAATAAATCCTTTTGCAACTCATTTTACAATATCATTTACATATAAGCTCAGGTAGCCATGGAGATTAACCCTTCCTTATAATACTAAAATCTAGGAGAAATAAGAATTTACTTACTCTTCCAATTTCTGCAGTCCAAGAAACAACAATGGTGTTTGGTACTGTTGTGGACAATCGGACAAGTGAGGTGATATTGATTGGTCGGCTGGGTCGCTTTGGTTCCACACCATTTTTTGTAGGTGGAAGATAACCCTAAGGATGAAATATCATTTATTTCCACTTATTATTTCCACAATCATTTCAACTTCCATTCCTAAAACAAACAAAAACCCCCCACAAACTACATACCGGAAAATATAAATATTTTCATTAAAAATTAGAGAAAACATTTACAAGATTATTTCTCTAAACAACCCTACAGTCTCATTATAGTGAGCCTGAGAATAATACTCGCGATAGAAGTTACAAATCTCTAAAACTTAGGAATCAGGATGAATTCATAAAGAGCTTGGATAAGTATGTAAGGATCATTTTAAAGGTGACCAATAACAGCCTGCACGCTCATTCTCTGTTTAAGACACAGCATTCTTCCCCTATTCTACCGCAGGCTTCCAGACTCACATGAGTACTGCTGAGGTTTTGTTGAAACAATTTCTTGTCCCTCAAAATCCAGTATAACAGTATCACTGCCATACCCAACTCCCAAGTCCTAGACTTTGTCTCCACAGCTAATGTCACAGCTGTTAATTATACATGGTTGGTACAAGTGTTTTACAGTCACATGAATATACATCCAAAATAAAGATGTTTTCTTAATGAAAAACTATGATTAACAACAGCTGTCATGACTTACTTGATAGCTCTGTTGCCAATGCATTTAAAAAATAGCTTTTAGGACTTACCGGAAGGCTGCAAGGTTTTGTATTCACTTTCACACAAAGATTGGGTGGGAAGTGATCTTCTTGTGGACAACTGGTTTCCGATAAACAAAACCTAAACAATAAAGGACATTTATTAAAGGATGACCTCAATATTTTTGTTCAATAGCTAATCTAAAAGGCTGCTAAACTTAACAAAAACTACTAGAGCTAGACATTTCACATGATGAATAAGCACATTTAAACAAACTGAAAATAAATCATTCTGTCAATGCAGAGTTTCAATGATCACAACTATCAACCTACAGTTTTCTTCATAATATTGCCGATCATTTGCTTAAGCATGTTCTAGGGAGGAAAAAAAAGCTCTGTAGTGGAATAAAGACATTCTGAATCAAAAAATTAAATTATCTTAATAAAGAATGTCTCAGAGCTAGGGTAACATGCACTGTAACTTTCTAAGAGGGAGATATAATACACAGTATCTCCCAAACTTATCTGCTTATAAAATAGTCATTTCTTGGTTCTAAGCAGAACATACTGAAAATGCTGTAAGTCCATCCCTAAGACCAAATTCTATCCACTAAGCCAAGGTACTCCATTATTCCCTGAGAAGTGAAGGTGTTGAAAAATAATATTAGTTGTACTATATCCACATACATTTTTTTTTAAGATTTTTTTAATTTATTTGAGAGAGAGAATGGCAGAGAGAGAGAGAGAGCATGAGAGCGGGGAGGGTCAGAGGGAGAAGCAGACTCCCTGCTAAGCAGGGAGCCCGATTATATCCACATAACATTTAAAACACTATTTTAGAAACTCATAATCATTTAGGAAAACTATGGACGGTTACATAATTTGTAAATTCTCACTCTGTTCATGCTTACATAAAGAAACAAATTATTAATTTGCTATTTAAGACATCTTAATAACTTCCTTATTCCCAATATACAGCTGAGGCTCATCCCACCTTTTTTTTTTTTTTAAGATTTTATTTTTTTTTTTTTTTGAAGAAGAAACAAGGGGAGCACCAAGCAGAGGGAGAAGCAGGCTCCTCACTGAGCAAGGAGCCCGATGTGGGACCTGTTCCCAGGACCCTGGGATCATGACCTGAGCCAAAGGTAGACGCTTAAACGACCTGAGCCACCCAGGCATCCCAGCTCATTCCACCTTTATAGAACATTCACAGCATCTTTGCATTATATGTTAAAAAGAACCCTATCTGAATTCTGTGAAATAGTCATCACACACAAACATCTTCCCTCAACATCTTGTAGGGTCTTAACCTGCCGGCTATGGAATCCGTATGTGGGAGGATCCACAAACTGGACAATTTTCTATGTACATATATACATTCATCTGTATGGGGAAACAATCTTGTAGCTTCCATCAGATTCTCAAAGGGTAAGGGACCCACCCATAAAGGAGTTAAGAATTACTGATCTACAAAGATTTTCCTGAAATATACATAGCAACACAGATGAAAATACACAGACGTCAAAGCTCACAGGATCATCTCTAACCCCAGCAAAACCTGTTACAGGACAATCTTTTATACTGCAACAGTAAAAGGATGCCACAAAGTTTTTAATAAATTATTCCAATGCAGTGATAAATTTAAAACACAGACTCTGGCTGCCTGAAGCTACAGAAAAGAATGATTTATATGACAAGTCGACTCCTATTCATTTAAGTAAAAGGTGAAAATCTAAGGCACCCTAACAAACCAAAGGGAAAAGAAGAAAAAAGAGGAATAGCAGAAAGTTGCTGTGAAGGAGTTCATGGTGGTGGGGAGGGGAAACAGGCACATAAATGAGAAGAGACTGGGAATCTAATAGAGAAAACAGTGACCCTAATCCTGACCAAATTTTTTTCATGCTTTAGACACAATTTTTTTTTAGGATAACAGGTATACACTCCCAACTTAAATAATACACGGGGATTGCAGACCTTGTTAACGAGGGTTTTAAGGGGATTAGGATGAAAAATAACCATTTTATCAAAACGCAAAGAACCACCTAACAATTACCAACTATAATACAAAATGGTTCTTTTTTCATCAAGTTCTGGAGATGAATTTGAATTGAAAATGGCTAAACCATTATTATTTTTATTTATTTATTTATTTTTGGGTTAAACCATTTTTTAACTGCCAAGATTCCCTCGAAACCTTTGAAATAGAGGGCTGATCTATCTTAAAAAGAAAACATTCCTTTGGAAAGTGAACCATACCTGTTGCTGTGTTATAGAATGCATGCATATTAATATAAAATACTGAAGACAGGAACTAGATCTTTTGTTCTAGAACTATGGTTTTCAAATTTTATTTTAGTCTTGGGACTCTTTCTTCAAATGAAAACTAACCCAGAAGTCAAACATGCAAAATAGATCAAAGCAGTACTACTTTGGTTCAGAGAGTGTGTATTGGGGGGTGGGGGGAACCTAGCACAGACCCCTATGGGCGGCTCCAAGCAACAGTTTAAAAAACAGTTTCAAACGATAATGTCACATATCAGTATGAACAAAATAAAACTGCTGATGCAGAACTAAGTAAAATTACAACAATATATAATTACGAAGGCATCATACTTTAGTCCTTTAATTTATTCAGTCATTATCACATTCTGCCCCGACAGAGGATAAAGTACCTTTTACATAGGAACATCTTTGTCAGTGCACTCTGAAATCAAGACTTCAGGGGTGCCTGCGTGATTAACCAGCTCAGCTGGTTAAGAGTTTGCCTTCAGCTCAGGTCATGATCTCAGGGTCCTAGGATGGAGCCCCGCCTCAGGCTCCCTGCTCATCAGCAGGGAGTCTGCTTCTCCCACTCCCTCTGCCTCTCCCCCCTGCTCATGCTCTGTCTCTGTTTCTCTGTCTCTCTCTCAAATAAATAAATTAAAATCTTTAAAAATAAATAAGTAAAATTTAAAAAAAAAATAATAAAATCAAGATTTCAACCTCTCCTCTGCTTTCTCACTGTTTTCATCACTGTATTTTTAAGCCAAGATCAGAGTTTTTCACATCATTCCCTAAAGCACTGAGTGGGTGCTTTATCCTCTTTTCTGACCTCCTAATGTATTTATAATTTGTACACACAACTTCGGATCCAATTAGTGAGACTGTAGCTATCTGTTTGACTGATCCTTCCCACTTTAGGGAAAACAGCTTATGGAGGAAAACAACGGTCTTGTACTTCCTCTTGTATCCCTACTGCGACAAGACTAGTGTGGAGCAGTTAGGTTCCTACAGGGATAGTCAAAGAGTAAAAAGAGTACCATAAGATGGTTTATATAAGACAGAGAGACATATTAACATAAAAGAATTCTTAGATATCCTTAGAAAAAATGAGCTAAGAAAAGAAACTGAATAAGGGGAAACTGTGAATCCATGCTAGAAAATTTTCCATTCGTCTTTGCAAAACTATCAAGGGAGGTCTCATGAAATCTAGAATTGTGTTTTTAAATTAATGATTTAAAATACAGAACAAAGCAAATTAGACTGTTTGGGTTTTTGGTAGTCTGTGAGACACTTAACCTAAGTACTAGTTCCTTATTTACAGTAGTTTGTCATCCTTTGCACATTCACAAAAGAGTAGTTCTAAAGAGCTCACACTATCATATCATTTAAACATATCGTTAGCTGGAGCTTCTCAACCAACTAAAAGCAACCAAAACGGAGAAAGGTGGTTAGATATATGGTACATGACTCGCTATATTAAAATCTAAACTGTATAAAAATTAGGATATTTCATAACAGGAGAAGGTCTTCCCTCACCCAAACATCTAAACCTAATACTTTCAATATACTTACTGAAAATTACATAATTTTTAAGACTCTTTAAGGAATATTAACTTTTAAACACTGGATATATACTGTAGACAATACTGTACCTTAACTGGACCTGCACTGTGAAGTCACATTTGGTCCCAGAAATATCCCTAGAAAAGACAGGGTAGGAACTACAATTATTTTTAAAATTTGCACATGAAAGCTGATTCAAAGATACTGTTACTCCCAAAGTTCTTCAAATTATCAAAGATATAACTGTTCTTCAGATAACTAACACTATAATAGCATTTTCAATACTAATATTCGCATGACACTAATACTCACCCAGTACACTGTTTTTAAAAATCACTTATTATAGACATTACTGGTTTCAAAGGCCAAACTGCAAGTTACACTTGAAGAGAACTTACATGGAACTACTGATTTGCTGCACTTGTTGTGGTGTCAATGCAAATGCAAAACAGGTTTCTCGAAAGCGCTGGCTGTTGTCTGATGCTAAAGAAGAAAAGAATTATACTTTTAATTACCTTCAAATTCATCAATAGAGAACATAACAGCCAGAGGAAAAAAAAAAAAACAAGCCCAATTATTCACATGACTTTAATTAACTGCAATGTATTCTAGAGTTTAGATAACAAGGCAATTAAAGCACTGAAAAGTAAGAAATGTGCCAGTTGTAATGTAACAGAAATAGACACCAAAATGGCTAATTTCAAAAGCCATATCAGGATTCAAATTCAGAAAATACATAATCAAAGAAACACTAACTGAAAATTATCCAATCATATAAATGTGTGCATCTAAAAAAGCACACTTGTATAAAAACATGCTGATATTAATTTTATTTAAAATAGAAAAATATAAACCCATTTAAAGGCACATGGTTTCTGAGCTAAGTAACAAACATACACACCTGGAGATCTGCAAAGGTGAGGTGACATTTGGTCTTGAAGGCAAAATACGAATTTTATCATCTCCTGCCTAACTATACCCTGCAAGTGCTATACAGTAAATACCATAGATAGTTTCTCCTAAACTTAGATGATCTGACTTCATAATCTGCCTGTGGTTACTATCTCAAAGAAGGAAAGAGCTACAAAAAGAGGGGAAGGAAGGGAATGAAGAGAGGAAGGGAGGGAGGAGAAGGGACATAGGGAGAGAGAAAAGAACAAGAGAGCAGGCAAGCACGGACAGGTCTGTGTAAGAGCAGGGATTCCTACAGTATGCTGCTGTGAGCAACAGTAATTCTATTGGCTTATACCAGTTACATACATATTTTAAAAATCAGCGCTGTTTCCTCAGTGCTTGGCACAAAGAAGCAACGAATGATGGCTGAATGAATAAAAGAATATGACAACTTAAAAATACCAAACTAAACTATACCTTTCAAGGGTAATTTTCTAGAAAAAAGGATCACTAGAAGTTACTATCAAGGAAATCCTGGCCTGTGGGCCACTTAAACCCATGCAGAAAAAGTAGCTGAATTTGGCCATCTCTTTGTTTAAACAGGGTTTGATCTGACTTGTAAGCAACACTTCCTCTACAATTACCACCAAACTGCAGTATGTCATGCTGAAAAATCTGTACAAATGTATCACGATGAGAAAAAAAATGGAAAAGATCACTGCTGATCTACAATTTCATCTCAATATAGAAGCATCTTTTAAAGGCCAGATTTGCATTTCTGCTTTCTGTGAACTGGGAAGGCTTTTACTTAAAAAATATATCCCCAAGAGAGTTACTAACCAGAAAGTTATCTTAATTGTGAGGTACCAACCCAGCAAATGTCTGATAACCAAGGACTAGAATGCAGAAAAGATCACTTCCTCCCTCAAACAATGCAAATAACTCCTTTGCTTCTTAAAGGATATCTCTCTACGAAGATTTTAATCCAGTAGGCTTAGCCTAACTTAGATTTCTGGCTCCATTCTAAAACAGTGCTAAAATAATTTCCCAAGTACAAATATTCATATTTCTCTTTAGGCAAATTTCAGATTCATTTTGGAATATATGAGTACAGTAAGTTTTGGACACATACATGCAGATTTAGATAAAGAAGTCATGACTAAAATAAAGAAACAGTTGCTTGTGCCACATACAGAAATGAGGCTTATTACTTAGTAATAACCCCTATTTACAAACACTTTTTAGATTGTAATGCTCATGAAGTTATTACAATTTATCTGGAAAAGCACCTTTCATCTATGTGGTTTTCAGGCTTAATTTCCACAATGAATGCCAGTGAAGAACTTAAGAGTTTTGTCTTAGGTAACAGACTATCTTAAAAATTTTTCTGAAAGGCAATTATGCTATTATTATCCCTTTCAAGAAAACTCAGGCCAAACAGAATCATAGAATCCTCATACTGAAAAAAGAGTCCAACATATCCAAAACAATGACTTCCAATGTTGGGGGTATGCATCTCAGAAGGTACACAAGACAATCCACAGGGATATAAGAAAAAGTACCTACCTACCTACAAATGTACGTTTTAATAAAAGTTGAGATTTTACATGAAATCTCTAACCTAATTTATAAAAATATCTAAAATTTTATGTAAAATCTTAACTTTTGTAACTTCTATTTTTTGCTTTATAACAGAGAATATTAGTATAATAGCTTAATAGATATGACATATATATACACACACACACGGTAAATTATTTTACTGAAAGGGGCATATTAACACATAAGTTTGCAGACCACCAATTTAGAGTTCAACCTTCCTTTCAACTTTTCCTCACATTTTTTTTGAACCCATTTAGAGGTGAGAGAAGAGTGGCCATTACCTTGTCAGGCAAAAGATGGCTGATATTAACATTTTAATTATAAGAAAGCATGAAGCCCTACAGAGAGTAGCAAAATTTAGTGGAAAGAGATGAGGTCACATAGACCTAGATTCCAAAATGGTTTTACTATTTACTTGCGATATGACCATAGGTACTTATCCACTCTGTGACTGTTTCTTCCTCCAATATTTAAACATAAACACACAGGGGGCACCTGGGTGGCTCAGATGGTTGAGCGTCTGCCTTCGGCTCAGGTCATGATCCCAGGGTCCTGGGATCGAGTCCCGCATCGGGCTCCCTGCTCCTTGGGAGCCTGCTTCTCCCTCTGCCTCTCTCTCTCTCTCTCTCTGTCTCTCATGAATAAATAAATAAAATCTTTAAAAAAAAAAAAAAAACATAAACACACACACACACACAACTTCATAACACACACACACACACAATAAATGAAGTAAGATATTAAAAACAACCAACAATTTCCTTTTCTATCCACTTTCCTCCCTGCTCCCTTATACTGAGTCAAAATACATAATGCTGCAATTTCTACCCATCAGTGTCATACTCCATATCCAGTGACAGCCATTCTTCAAGTATTTTAGACAGCACTAACAAGTCCCTCTTTTTCAACTCTTCTCACTGTATTTCAGCGGAGACTGCAGAATTACTCACCATCCTGATCCTCTGGACATACTTCAGGTTGTCACACCCTTAAAGCAACAGCAAGAACTGGACACACTCTGTCACAATATATGTATTTATTCTAAATAAGATTATTCCAGTGCCACTGACATTAGCCTTGGCCAGTGAAATGTGTGTGGAAGTATACCACTTCTAGGCAGACCTTTATGAGTTTTCCTTTGGTTTCACCATCTTTCATTCCAGTCCACCCTGATTCTAGAGTGAAAAGAACATAAAACACAGCCACAGCCCATCTGCAGCTAATAAGTAACATAAGCCAGACATAAACCTTACTTGTTTGCCACTGCGATTTATGGTTGCTTATAAACTGATGTATTATTCCAGATGTGATGTGACTAAAAGAGTATTTTTATCAACAACTACCATCTACTATTGTTAATCTATACGCCAATGAAGAAAATGTATCTGCTCCTTTTTCGGATTTAGAAATTGATGTTCAAAGTTGTTATGTAATTGTCAAGGCCTCATACTAGGTTAAGTGGAAGCAGAACTGGAACTCAGATCTAAACATCTCCAAAGCCCATGTTCTTCTCATAATACAGGTCCATTAGCTCCCCTGATCTGGGTGGTATACTTCTCTACATGCAGCTTAGCATCATACTGGATCATAGAAAATAGGAAAAGAATGACCCACTATCCCTTCATAATAACTGTTTTTTTATATCAAATTGTATGGACAATTTGAAAGTTCACTTAAAAAAAATCACCCTTATGACATTTTTCAATTATAATCTCTATTACCATATTTTAATTATTGCATTGTACTCTATCTATGGGATATAATGAAAATTTTAATTACTCCCTTGATTAGCTATTTAGGTTGTTTCTTATTTTTCATTATTTGAAACAATTCTGTGAACATCTTTGGGCTCATGTTTGTTTTTTGAAAGGGGGGGTAGTTTTACTTTCTTTGGATCAATTCCCAGATGTGGCATTTCTGGATCAAAAAGTATGGAGATTTTTATGAATCTTGACACACTGCAGAAGGGATTTTCAAATGGTTATAACATTACATATAAGACCACCAGCAATTTATGCATCTACTAATTGCACCCTACTCTGGCCTGCATGGGAGTTGTGCTAATTTAATGGGTGGATCATGGTAAGTCCTCAGTAGTTTAACTTGCATTAAAGAGTTTTTCTCTGTTTATTTTTGTTTGGTTTCCAAACAAAATTTTTATTTTTTTTATTTTATTTTGTTCAGTTTAGTTAATTGTCCAATCTTGTCCTGCACCCAGTTTTTATTTGCATAGGGGTTTCATATATAAGAACATTAACCCATGGAAATTTGCTGCAAATATTTCCCCCAGTCTGCTATATTTTTTTCATTTGGCTACATTTTTGGATGATATACAAGTTAAACTTTCATGTAATCTAATCTGTCAACCATGTCCTTTGCAAATTCTAACTGTTCTCCTTCTTAGGTTCAATCAATATATAATTGAAGTTTTTGGCTTGTTGTTTCTATGTAATTATTAGACCATCTGGAACTTATTTTAGTATGTGATATTTTTAAAAATCTAAATTTCTGTTACTCCAAATTGCTTACCGTTATACTAACACCATATGTTAAATAATCCTTCCCTTCCCTATGGATGTGTGTTTCCTTTCTCATATATTAAATCCTTATATCCAACATGTTCCATTTCCGGGCTATCATCCCATTGCTCCTTTTTATCCTGGTGCTGGCACTCTAGTTCTTAATTGTTATAGATTCATTATGTTTTAATATCTTATAGTTAGGTTTCTCTCCACCCATTTTTTCAGAACTTTAACATCAACTTAAATATTTATTCACCTATATGAACTCCTGAATAGTTTTGCTATGATTTTTAAAACCTAATGGTATTTTGAGTAGAACTGCAATAAACCTACAAGTTATTCTGACAGCTGGCGTCTTTATATCTTTACATCTTTAACCTTGCCATCCTGGAGTATTTTACCTGTGTCCATTTATTCATATCCTGAAGGTTCTGTCATTTTCATCACATAGTTACACAGTTCCCA